GTTGGGCCGACAGGGCTAGCAAGGAAACTGGAGTAGACAGAGGGGTAGAGATAGGGGTAGGGGTAGGGGTAGGGGGTCAGGGAGGAGAGAGACCGGGGTTGTGAATGCGGGCTGTGGTAATGCGGCGGCTGCAGCAAGTGATGGGGCCGTTACACCGCCGAAATGTGGGTGACCGCGTGTCAGCGTGTCCTTTCGCATACAGCGGCAGTCCTGTAGCCAGCAACATGCACCCAGGCTGGGGAGGGGGAGGGCTGGCACCCGCACCCGCATCCGCGCCCGCACTTCAGGAGACGCGGCCCCGAAGCGGCCCCGAACCGCACTCAACATTTCTCCACCACAACCAGGAAGGGAAGCTGCAGCATGATGCGGGAAAGGTTGTTGACGCGATGGACTGTATCGCTCCGATTTTCTAATGTCCTCCGTTAGAGTCGACGACGACTTGCCGTGGGCACCAGTCTGCTTAGCTGAAAGGTGAAGCTATGCGCTCGGTAATGGTTGCGGGTTGCATTATTTTGGTTTCGCGAGCTGCCGGATGCTGACCAGAAACCGCATCCCGTGGGAAACGACGCCAGTGACCGTCACTTACGCGTGCACTCTTTTCCTCCGCGTCCGAGACGTGTGTCACGCCCCATACGCCGACCACCAGGATTACGGACAGCAGCAGCAAAGGCCACAGCAGTGTGGACTTGGGGTAGAGCAGTACAACCCGTTTAATCGCCTGAATAAATAAATGCACGGCTTAACTTCATTTATAACTGGAAAACGAAATCGCATATTACCTATGCACAACGTCAAAGGTGTCTTACCAGAAGCTCAGCGTATGCCTTCTTCAACCATCCGTAACAAGGGCTTTCCTCCTTATGAGGTAGAGTTTCTGAGTGAAAATCTGTATCCATGGTACGCCTATTAAACCAGGTGGCAGAGCCTTGGATACTCAATATCCAGGCTCATAACCTTCAGGGCGCATGCAATATGGCACATCGTTTCATTATTATCATTATTATATGCATCTCTGCCGAAATTTTTGGAAGAATAGAGGATGAAAGCGAAACTCCAAAGAACGCCGATACACCGCGAATATGTAAAGTAGCCATGTGGAGAATATATCAAATAACACAAGTACTAATAGTTGAAGTCGCGTACCCAGTCCGGGATTTCCATAACCAACCGCTCGGCAGCCGTACATTGTCGGACTAAGGCGAGAGCATCTTGTCCCCAATCGAACTTTGCGTGCGTTAACTGGAAGCCTTGCGAAGGCTGGTATGCAGCGAGCAATGGTAAACACTGTGCAGCTTGAAGAGATGCCAGGGCTAGGTATTTAAGGCTTCATTACGGGCCCGATGCCTCGTTCGAATCCTGCACTGATGAGAGGAGTCCAGGTGTGGGGGCCGCCGTTATTTCTCCAGGTCGTTGAACGACCCCCCCGACGCGCATGGCCGGTCCTGCTACTTCGAAAGGTCTCTAGAGAATCGCATGATAGAGCTGCGACGCACGTAGGGGGATACCGGATAATCGTGTGTCGTTTAGGGGGCTTGATAAATGGCCCCTCCACCTCCCCTGGGCCTCACGTATTTACCATTTATGGAACAGGGTTGTCCTTGCGAAGGGGACTGCGTTTCACAATGTTTTGCGTGAGAAGATACGTCTTGAGGTGCGTCCTGATCATACTTCCACCAACTGGGTTGCCATGATCCTAAGGGGCCTCAGGTGCTTAGGGCACTTCCCAGAGCTGCACCCGGACACGGATGAAGAGGGGAAGGTCAATTTCATTTTGTCGAACCCGGCCAATGTTAAATCTGGCATGGAAACGTTGAAGGAGCGATTTGATGATAACTGGCAGAACCCACGATTATTTCTACACCCGTGAGAATGAATATGTGTCGGGCAACCGTAAACCAGGGGTTCAGACGTGCCGGCATACCCATTGGATGGGAACACCGAAACGGCGTGCTACATTCCTGAGGTATGACCCCCACTTGTCACTGCTGCGGTTTCGCTTAGGGGCGTGACCTTTGGGGGTTAGCCGAACCGGCGGTCGGTCGCACCAAGAGCGGTGTAGGGTCTGCATGAATAGAAAACAGTAGAAAATGAGTTTCACGTGCTGCTAGAGTGTCCCGCCTAAAACGACCAACGGGAAGGGCTCCTCAAACCCTAGGAGGTGCACGCCAGGCTAATATCGAGCCCGTGCCGTATATGAGGTCTGTCATGGAGTTCGATGATCAGCGCGTGCCCCTCCCCCAACGTGTGTGTTCCATCTTGGTTCCCAAGTTAAGCTGGCCCAGCTCCATACCGTCAGCTCTACTATCTAGGACTCCCTTTTGCATAGAAGTGAAGCTGATAATAAACAGCTTCGCATACCATTACAGTGACAACAGGCAACCTGCTTCACACAACATGCCACGCAACACTCTGCTACGGCACGATGTAACTAGGGATGTACAGCACCCTCATCCCCATCCTGGTGCTGCTATCCAACCCTAATTCCACCAGCCACCAGCCACCAGCCACCAGCCACCAGCCACCAGCCACCAGCCACCAGCCACCAGCCACCAGCCACCAGCCACCAGCCACCAGCCACCAGCCACCAGCCACCAGCAGAAGGCTTATTTTCAGTGCAACTAATGAAATTCTCCTTGGCGGTTTACCTACCTACCTACCTACCTACATACATACATACATACCTACATACATACCTACATACATACATCCTAACCTCCTCATCCTGCCTAACACATCCTCATGTAGTAGCTGTCGTACAGTACAGTACATCATCTATGAACACGTGCTAAAGTGCTCCGCCAGATCGTAAGAGGTAGGGGCCTTTTCAGCGGCCAGCAGCTACCATACGGATGCACATGCACATGTACGCATGCGAAATGGCTTGGTGGCTAAGGCGTGGGAGGTGCATAGCGACAGGCTTGCGGGCGAGATCCCTACCTGAAATCATTACTATGGGTTCTTCATCATAATCTTCTTCATAATCTTCATCTTTGTGTGGTGCAGTGGCTGGGCAATAATCCTGAACAACGCAAACCCAGGTAAAATGTTTTATCGTCTACAGACCGGGTCATCCTACAATAGGTAGGACCGATGAATAGATCATATATAGATTCACGGTGTAGAGTGGTCTATAGATGAATCGTGTCATGGTAAAGCACGTTAGGCCTAAAATTAGATGATCTGTATTCACACCTCATCTTTATGGACGCGGCGGCGTTCAGGGCTGTTGAATTTTGGTCACACCTCGCGCGATCGCGTGGCGTGACAGTTACTGACAGTTGCGGATAATGGAATCATTTTCATCGTGTATCGATCGATTATTACTGTGTACAGGCGAACGTGCCGATTCACTGCTTCGGCCGCTCCTGGTCCATACACTCATGAAGGCTATAGCTTCGAGAGCCAAACGACAACGACGTTGACTGGGGCAGTCTCCCTCTCTCCAACGAGGTTTCGCCACCGCGCACCTAGGCTGTGCCTCGCAACACGATAGTTGCCATACGAGCCATAACTCATATCATTTTTTGCTGCTATCAACACAACGCCAGCACGAATAAGCTGTTGCTGACGGTCCTTCTTCTTGCACCATAATTCCTTCCTCCTCTCAGCCACGTTTGTGTTGTATACAATTTACTGCATCTGGTCCAAACGGATACAATTGCTGCCACGACGCGTCAGTGGTCCCGGCGCTGAGCCCAAGGTGTGTCGCCTTTCCTCGCCTGAGCCAGTCAGGAGCAGGACTTTGTGGCCAGCAGGTCCAGCAGGCCCTTGCTTGCTAGTGAATGCTTAGGGGCCGCCATGCAGTGCCTGCTTCTGCCACCATCATCATCACCATCATGTTGGGGGTTAGGCTGTGTGCATCGCTGGATAATCCTTGCAGATGCGCTGTACCTAGCAGGGATAGGCCCCCAGGGGTAAATAATAATGTATCGCGAACATCGCGTGTGGCCCTTGCGGCAGGAGCTCCTTTTATGAAGCAGCACTGTGTGTGCTCGTACGGGATCGTGCAGCATCGCAATCTATCGTGGGCTTCCGGAGTCAGCTTGCGACATATACGTGATTTTTCGGTAGATGGCTCGCCAGGAACATGATCCTTAATATTATGTCAAGCGAAAAACCGCTGCAAAGCAGGAAGTCAGAAAGGGCCAATTTTAGCGGTTAAAGTCTCCGAAACCGTGACTCCAGACACAGAGACTCAAGGCGGCTTGAAAGCAGGGGATTTTAAGAGTGGAGGCGTATCATGACTTTTGCTCGTATCTTCTGTTTTACACCTGCTTATATAACGAAGCAAATTGCTGGGAAAAGGACCTCTGAGGTCAGCTCCCTTTCTACTTGCACCTGTTGTAAAGTTGAGTATATAAACTATACCTTATTAAATCGGTGAACATGTATGGACAGCCGACCGATTATGGTGCAATATCGCTTCCGCAGGGACAGCAGGTAAGCTAGTGCTGGCGCCAGTTAAACCACTCATATCCGATACTGTTTGACGGTCTAAGTTGCAAGAGGGACATTGTTGCGGCCCCGCCGCCGCGTCTCAGAGCAAGCTGCCGGCGATTGCCGGCGTCTCATAGCATCATGGCAGCGGGTCTCAAGTGCATACCCGCGGCATACAGATGTATTGTTAATCCTGAAGGCTATGACGTCTTACTTGTGTGCCTGAACACTTTGATTCCGCTGCGTTGACTAACTCTTCGTGTCCTAGCAGAATTGCTTTGTCAGTAATATAACCTTCTGGCTTAAGGCACCCTATAAAGCCCTGGGGGATAAAGGAAAGCGCAAACGCGGGAGGCCGGGTGATTGGTCAGCGCATAACGGCGTCTTGCCGGATCTCCGAACACTAACAAACACACACGCATGTATACCCTGGCCCCCTGGCCCGCACCCTCTAATTCCATTACTAAGATGTCCATGGACCCGCCCTCTGTTGCGCGTTGCAGTCGCACGGAGTGCCGTACAGTACGGGATACAGTGCCTCCCAGTCCCTGGCACCGCAGACTGGATACGGCACCGGGTATGGAGCTCCGCAGTCGCAGCCGTTTCAGGACGGGTACGGTACGGGGTACGGCGCTGCACAATCGTCTTCTCTGCAAGCTGGGTACGGCACGGGGTACGGCACTACACAAGAACCTTCTCTGCAAGCTGCGTACGGCACGGGGTACGGCGCTACACAAACGTCTTCTCTGCAAGCTGCGTACGGCACGGGGTACGGCGCTACACAAACACCTTCTCTGCAAGCTGCGTACGGCACGGGGTACGGCGCTACACAAATACCTTCCCAGCAAGCTGGGTACGGCACGGGGTACGGCGCTACACAAATGCCTTCCCAGCAAGCTGGGTACGGCACGGGGTACGGCACAGTACAACCGCCTGGGGGACCTCCAGCTGTTGGGGGGTCATCGCTGACCTATCCGCCGTCGTACGGCAGTCAGGGCCCCGCGGTGCCGTACCCATACCCGCAGCAGCCGCAGTACCCCCAGCAGCAGCCGTCCCAGCCGAGCAACCCGTCTTCGCAACCCCCACAACAGTCAGTGCCGCAACCATCACCACCGCAACCCGCGTGCGAAGGACAACAACAGCAGCAGCAGCTGCAACAAGCAGAACACCAACCAGAACAACAACAGCAGCAGCAGCAACAACAACAGCAGCACAAAGTTTTTCAGCACCAAGGCGGCGGCCGGGGGCGGGGAAGGGGCCGGGGTGGCGGTGGAGGCGGAAATATTCTTGTACCCACAACCACAAACGCACCGGGCTCTTCACCAGGTTCTGGAGCCAAAACTGGATCCGGATCTAGAACTGGATTAGAGACCGGGCCTGGATCCGTATCCGTGCACCGTGTCATGACCCCCTCGGGCGGCCTTCCCACCAACAACCCCCCCCGGGGTAGCTCGGGGGTGGCACCCGCGCAACAAAACCCATCGCCATACAACCAGGCGCCGTACAATCAGCAGCTACATGCTCCATCGTACGGCAGCGGTGGAGCACCGGGCCATCCTCCGCTGCCGTACACACACCAACACCCCCACCAACCTCAACACGTGCAACCGAAAACGCTCTACCCGTCGCCGTACAGTCAACAACAACAAACATTACGTCATCCGCCGCTACAGCCCCAGTCAAACCCCGCGTACGCAGGTCCTTCGAACGCCCCCTCAGGCTCCCTTTACCCCGGACAACAGCTACAGCCGGTACAGCCGCCATACACTGCGCAGCTACAGCCATCGCCACAGACACATCCGCCTAGATTCGCACCACCACCACCACCACACGCCCAGCCTGGCGGTCGCGGTGGTGGAGGGAGCAGGGGGACCCCGGGGCGTGTGATGTTGCCCCACGGCTTCCTGGGCCCTACGGCCTCCGCACCTGGGGGGCCGGGAGGAGGGGCGGATGCCGGCCGGGGACGTTACGGGGGTCGGGGGTATTCGGGGGGGGGCCGCGATGCGGGTTTTGGCGGCGGGCGGGGCAGGAAGCGGTCGGCGGATGAGATGGCGGTCGGCGGTACGGCAGCGGAATCAGACACGGCGGCGTTGTCCGGGCAGGATCGCCCTCATCACCCCCATCACCCTCATCATCAGCAGCGGGGGCCTCAAGGGGGGGTCGCTGCTGCTGCTCAACCACCGGCAGCTGGTGGTGGTGGTGGGGGTGGTGTAATGAGTAAGAAGGCTCAGAGGCGGGAGCTGATGTCTCGGCCGCCCGAGGTGGGCCCTGTGGTGGTACGGCAGCCCGCTACGGAGGAGGAGCGACAGGAGGTGGCCAGGTGGGGGGTTAGGGGGTGGGGGTTAGGGCGGGGCGGGTGTGCATGTGCGTGTGGAGGATGTGCGTATGCCAATGCCGGGGAAGGGAGAGCGGTGTTGGGGGGGGGGGGAGGGAGAAAGTGGGAGGAAACGGGTTTTGCAGTGCGGGGAAGAGGACATGACGGAGCTTCTACGATACCCTAATGGGGTTTAAACGGATGCTGTGTCAACCATGTGTGTTTCACACGCATTACACGTCTGGTTGTTGGTGGTACGTTACACGTAGCCATGCGATCTGAACCCAGATCATCATTTTCATATCCGGGTTCCCTTTCCCCCACTTTCCCCACCCGCCTCCCCCCCTACTCCAGTAGACATATTCCTGATGCAGCATTCGTCTTCTCCTGGACTAACCGTCTATATCTCTGGTATCTGCTTCACTCGCCCGTGGTTCGTCTTCCCCCCCGCCTACCCCCCGCCTCCCGGGGCCCCCATCTCTTTTCCCCCGTCAGGTGGATCGCCGACCGGAAGCGCTTCTACCCCACCGCCGCTAACCAGGCTCAGAAGGCGGCGGAGGCGGCTGTACGGCAGGAGAGTGGGGGTCTGGACCCCTCGCGGGAGGAGCACCGCAGGAAACTTCGAGAGATCCTGAAGACGCAGCGCGCACTGGGTTTGGACAGGTGGGAGGGGCGGGGAGTTTGGGTGCGTATTCAGACAGACAGACATATGGATGGATGGATATCCATCCATGGGTCTTTGCGGCGGATGCGGATGCGGATGACGTGGCATGACGGAAAGTGCCGTACTGGCAACGGGGGGAAATGGGAAGGTTGCAGCATTCACTCATGCTTGCCCGTTCAAATTCCCGTTTCTGATATCGTTCGCGCACCCTCTCAATCGAGCGAACGATTGTACTTCATTCGCTTATTGTGAATGGGGCGCAGAATGGCGGGAACCTCCGACATGAGTCTCCCGGGGGACGACGGAGGTGGCGGAGGCGGAGGGTTCTACGGCGGCCGCGGCGGCGGCGGCGGCGGCCGCGGCGGTGCGCGAGGTCGCGGCCGCGGCGGCGGTGGCCGCCAGCCCTCCTGGCAGTGGCAGGCTGGCGACGACACCAATGCTAATGGAAGTAGTGACGGCGCCGCCGCCGCCGCCGCAGGTGAGGGTGGCCAGGCGGCAGCCATGAGTGACGGCGTCAACGGCGGAATGTACGACGGTGCTCACGGCGGCTCATGGGGTCCTGCCGGCGGTGGCGGCCGTCGCGGCGGCCGTACATGGGGCCGCGACGGCGGCCGCCGGGGAGGTCGTCTGGGTCGGGGATATCCCCACGCGGGTCGGGATGCGGCGGACGGTGGCGGGCGGGGCCGAGGTCGCGGCGGTGGCGGTGGCGGTGGCGGACTGGCTGCCGCTCGTCCCCCTAGCCTCCTAGAAAAGTTATTGAAGGAAGAGCTCCGACAGGAACGGAGCTGGCTGCTACAGGTATGTGTCTATGTATGTATGTATATGGGGTTTGAGGGAATGTGAGGGTGTGACTGTTGGGAGAGATGCAGGGCAGAGGGTATATGTTAGGAGAGGGAATGTAGCCTCATCAAGCCCTCACTCCGCTGCAGTCTGCCTCGTGCCCAGCCTCAATCGCCTCTGCTTGTGCGCTTCCCATTACTGTCGTACGCTGTCGTACCGTCATGTCATGTGTGTTGCGCCACACCACATCAGGGAATCAGAAAGTACGTCCACCTTCACCCTAAGATCGTTTGTGACGGGTTAAAGAATGAGCCACCGTGCAAAACCTTTTCCTAGATCTAGATCAAAGTGCAACACAATGCAAATTTAGATGATAATGCACCTGGGGTGGTAGAGGTGTGGGTGAGGCTGCGGTGCGTGTGTGTGTGTGTGTGAGGTGAAGGAAGTGTGAGGGTGGGGTTTGCGGGTGTGCGGGTGATACCCCGACAGTGCGAGGCGAGTAAAAGCTGGAGCCCAACAGAGAGGGGCGCAGGCTTCCCCGCTTCCCCAAATAAGGCCTTCATTTCTGGCCGGTGTTGTGTGTGGTCGGTCAGGAAACATCGGGTGATCTGCTGCGGCTCCCATGCTCCCGGGTAGATCAGCCGTAAACTGGTTTCGGAGCTCCTTTGGCGCTTGGCGGTATTCGTTTCGGAGACAAAGACTGAACGGAAAGGTCCATGTCCCCACGTCCTTAAGCCTCTCTCCTCTCTCCCATTACTGCCGATTAACCAACCAACCTACCTACCTACTAATCAACTACCTGACCACCCAACTAAACAACTACCTGCCTAACCACCCGGGGCCTGCAGGCCGTTCGCTTCATCGCTCGAAATAATTTTCTGCAGCCCACCTCCACCTCCACCTCCTCCGCCTCTGGGAGGGAGACGGAGGCTGGGGCGGGGCAGTTGTGGTATCCCCCCGGGCTGTCCGACACGCCCCTGGACCCCAGGGAGGTGCTGCGGCTGCAGCTGGCGGCGGCGGCGGCGGAGGCGGCTGCAGCGGAGGCGGACGTGGAGGCGGAGGTGGTGGTGGTGGAGGGCACCGCGGGTGGCGCCGCCGCCGCAGCAACCTGGATTGGGGGTCTGCAGGAGGGGGGGGAGGAGGGGGACGGAGAGGAAGAAGAGGAAGAAGATGGTGGGTTTGAAGAGGAGGGGGAAGAGGAAGAGGAAGATGGGGGGCAGTAGCTGGAAGGAGGACTGTATGGGACGAGCGCCGCATGCGTGGGGAGGGACACGCTGTGATGTGCTGCTGCTGCTGCTGCTGCCGGCTGTCGCCGCATCGTGTATTTGTTCAAGTGAGCGGCGGCGCGCTCAAGTTGTCTTTCGCTCTCTTTACCTCGAGGGGTTTCCCCCGGTGACCTTGAAGGGGGGAGGGGGCTGGGGAACGGGAGGCTTGCGCACATGTATGTGTGTGTATGTATGTGTGTATGTATGTGTGTGTGGTTCAGTTCGGCTCGTGGATGATGGCCAGATACGAACTGTTTCCACTTGGTGGTGGTGGTGGAGGTGGTGGAGGATGATTGATGATTAATGTGGAGGGAGCGGGAGGCCTGCGAGCCCTGGGCACCGTTACCAGGAGCCGCGAGCCAAGTCGTGTTGGGGCCGCTTTTCCTCCACCTGTACGTGGTTGCGCATGATTGAACACTGTTGGCTGGCACCCCCTTCCCTCCTTAGGGGGCGACAGGAGGGGGGCTCCGTGTGCATAGGGGTGTACCTGTGTGTTTTTATGTGTGTATGTACGGCACGCGCCCATAAGTTACGGCAGGGGAGGCAAAATGTGGGGTTGTGACGTGGCGGTGCTGGTCGTTCGCTCAACACCCCGGTCCCCCCTCCACACCTTTTGGACCCCGGCCTGTTTCCTCGATATCAGTCTCTCATTCACCGGCCCAGCAAGGTTAGGGGGCTGCTTAGGGTAGGTGCTGCGAAGTGCCGTACTAAGTAAGACCTCACACTACGATTCTTATGCAGATGAACCCTCGGAGCTACCCACCTACCCTGCCGTACGTACGGAACGTCGTACAATGATGCAAATTTGGTCAAGTCACAGCAGATACCGACCGTACAGATCTTTTTTTATTGCTTTCCGGTTTTACAACCAGCCAACCGAAATACGCGAGTGCGGTCGGCCTCATGCGAAGCCGCAGATTGTCAGCACCTGCTCTCTTGTCCCGAGACCTGTGGAAAAGGGGGAGGGAAGGAAAAGGGAAAACACAAGCACGTCATGTGGCGCCCGCCTGCTAGAAACAAGGCGCTTACCCCTCCATCACCCCCAGCACCACAGGTGATCTATCCGCTTCTGTGGTATGAGCCCCACCCCCTCCGCGCCATCATCACGTGAACGGATAACAACCCACCGCACGAGCACCAGGCGAACATAGCCGGGTAGTGGGGGGCCTCATTGCACAGAGCCGCTTCACGCAATAGCGACAATGCGCACCATTCATTCATTCGCCAGCCGCCGGTGGAGCAGTCCCTCCGTCCAGCAGTGGAGATGGCCACGGTAGGCGGAAGCAAGGGGGGAAGGCCAGTTAGGTACGGTATGTTACAAGTTACAAGTTACAAGTGCCGCACGAGTGCGGGGGTGTCCGTCAAAGCCGGGAGGCCATTTGTTGGCTTAGATGCGACGGAGCGAAGCGACCGGAGCCTCTAAGGCTGGTTCTGTGGTACTGTCGTACAACTGGGTCGCAGTGGCGACTTAAACCTTACTGCTCTCCTGGTGAAGTCATTCTGCCTTCACACAGAAGAGCATACAGCCTTGTCCGAATAGTCAGCGTGACAGGCTGTACTTGAAGCCTTACCAATTCAAGTTCCGATCCACATTTGTTCAAGTTTTTTTCTACGTTTTCCGATTTCAACTTCTTCCAATGTCAACTATTAATGACAATGCGCCATCGACTGAGAACGTCGCCACTGTTCCAGGTGGGGCTGGTGAGGGTTTTAGGCGCCACTGGGCCCTCCCCGCCGGCCGGCGCTGCTAAAACAGGCGCCGCGGTTTTAGAAACTGTCAGCGGTGGCGGATTGCGCGGCAGCAACCACAGGGGTGGCGGCCAGCGTGGAGGTCATGACTACGGCGGAAGTCGCGATGCAGAGCGCTACGATCGCAGTGATCGCAATGGCAATGGCGGCCGCAGCAGCAAGTAGTGAATTTCAGGTTTTAGCGCCATAAAGCGGGCCCACGTGCCCTGCTCTTTCTTCCAGGCCCGCGTGCCGTTTCAATTCTTTAAAGGACCAACGCCGGTCAGCGCAGTGCAGGAGCAACCTTTTCTGGTCGCGATGGAGTTGCCAGCGAGCATCAACTTGGGCACCCGCGAGTGCAATTGAGGCGCCCGCGTGTGCAGGAGTAACCTTTTCTGGTCGCGATGAAGTTGCCAGCGAGCATCAACTTGGGCACCCGCGAGTGCAATTGAGGCGCCCACGTGCGCAGGAGCAACCTTTTCTGGTCGCGATGGAGTTGCCAGCGAGCATCAACTTGGGCACCCGCGAGTGCAATTGAGGCGCCCGCATGCGCAAGAATAACCTTTTCTGGCCGTGATGAAGTTGCCAGCAAGCATCAACTTGAGCACCCACGAGTGCACCTGAGGCGCCCGTGTGCGCAGGAGCAACCTTTTCTGGTCGCGATGGAGTTGCCAGCGAGCATCAACTTGGGCACCCGCGAGTGCAATTGAGGCGCCCGCGTGTGCAGGAGTAACCTTTTCTGGTCGCGATGAAGTTGCCAGCGAGCATCAACTTGGGCACCCGCGAGTGCAATTGAGGCGCCCGCGTGTGCAGGAGTAACCTTTTCTGGTCGCGATGAAGTTGCCAGCGAGCATCAACTTGGGCACCCGCGAGTGCAATTGAGGCGCCCGCGTGTGCAGGAGCAACCTTTTCTGGTCGCGATGAAGTTGCCAGCGAGCATCAACTTGGGCACCCGCGAGTGCAATTGAGGCGCCCGCGTGTGCAGGAGCAACCTTTTCTGGTCGCGATGGAGTTGCCAGCGAGCATCAACTTGGGCACCCGCGAGTGCAATTGAGGCGCCCGCGTGTGCAGGAGCAACCTTTTCTGGTCGCGATGAAGTTGCCAGCGAGCATCAACTTGAGCACCCACGAGTGCACCTGAGGCGCCCGTGTGCGCAGTTGCTGGCGTGCAGACGTGAGCATCGTCGAGTTGGGCACCCGCGAGTGCAATTGAGGCGCCCGCGTGTGCAGGAGTAACCTTTTCTGGTCGCGATGGAGTTGCCAGCGAGCATCAACTTGGGCACCCGCGAGTGCAATTGAGGCGCCCGCGTGTGCAGGAGCAACCTTTTCTGGTCGCGATGAAGTTGCCAGCGAGCATCAACTTGGGCACCCGCGAGTGCAATTGAGGCGCCCGCGTGTGCAGGAGCAACCTTTTCTGGTCGCGATGGAGTTGCCAGCGAGCATCAACTTGGGCACCCGCGAGTGCAATTGAGGCGCCCGCGTGTGCAGGAGCAACCTTTTCTGGTCGCGATGAAGTTGCCAGCGAGCATCAACTTGAGCACCCACGAGTGCACCTGAGGCGCCCGTGTGCGCAGTTGCTGGCGTGCAGACGTGAGCATCGTCGATTGCCTTCTTTATTCGCGGTGTCTCCCGCTTCCGCTTTTCTTCTATCGCCTTTTCTTGTCTTGAGTTCGTGAACAGACCGTCGTACGGGTTCACTCTGTGGCAGCGTTTGCCGTACTCTTGGGACAATTCGCGTCAAGTCAAGCAGTCCATTAAGTCGCCTTGGCAGCTGGCCGGCTGGGGGGACCCATTTTTTGCCCGTCGTACTTCTTTAAGCGTTGTCCTACTTCCTCGCTCGCCCGTGTCTCCATCAGTCCGTCCGGTGCACGCTCGCAGGCTTTCACCACCACCCGTGAATTCCGTCTAAGGAACCATGGATTCGTTCTCTCATGACGACGCTATCGCTTTCCTGTCAGAGCTAGGGGTGGAGGCCCTCTCGCGTCCGGGCCTTGCGGAAGACGCCCAGATGTCCGTCAGTCGCAACGCCAGCCAATTCAAAAAGGCAGCGCCTTTTAGGCCAGCCGTGTGGCCCACCTGCTGCAGCCCCCGACGACATGCCAGCCCCCAAACGGCCCGCACCGGGCCCTGCCCCTGCCCATCGGCCAAACCTGGACCCCGCGTCAGTTCCGGCAAGTCTGGCCACACATCGGAAACAACCAGCCCGTCCCGCGGTGGCACCAGAAGGTGCGAAGGTCGAGGCCCCGGGTGACCTCCGGAAGGTTTGAGGGGAGTTTTCTAGTCCTACCTCCGACAACGCCTTGGGAGTTCGGTCGTTACCAGCAGCGGGTCAGCCTCCCACGCCGCCCCAGATGAGAGGACGCCTCTCTGGCAAAAAAAAATGAGCGCTTGGAAGGCTTGGGTTGTGAACGCGCTGGTCATCTCGTGGATCACCTCAGGCTTCCCACTCCGTTGGGTCTCCAGCCCTCCCCCCCCCAGCACTCAGGCCGCAATCACGCTTCGGCAACCGCCAACGCCGCGTTCGTGGACAAAGCCGTAGCAGATCTGGTGGCGTCGGGCACAGCTCGCGCATGGCCGACGCAGCCTCGTGTGGTTTGCCCGTTGGGGGTCGTGCAGCAGGCAACTAAGCTCCGGCTCATTTGGGACGGCAGGCCGGTAAACGATTACTTGCACGTCCCCTCCTTCCGCTACGAAGACTTGAAGGCGGTTCCTGGTTGGCTACTCCCAGACGATTACCTATTTACTTTGGACCTCAAACGCGGCTACCATCACCTTGACATTGACCCAAGGTTCTGGGAATATCTCGGCTTCTGCTGGAGAGGCGTCTTCTATGTCTTCACACAACTGCCTTTTGGCCTTGCTTACGCTTGCTGGGCGTTCACGAAGCTCATGCGAGAGGTCATGCGCCCCTGGCGCAAGCGCGGCTGGCGATGCTCGGGCTACATAGACGATCAGGTGCATGCAGACCAGAACGCTGATAACTTGGTACGGCGCAGGGCCGAAGTGGTAGCCCAGCTGGAGGCGCTTGGTTTCCTGGTTAATAAAGAGAAATCTATGCTGGGGGCCGTGCACCATCGCATTAGATACTTGGGCATGCTTATCGATACCAAGGACGGCGTTTTCATCGTGCCAGGCGACAAGCGGGACCGCCTCCTATCCACGATCAATCGCGTGCTCACGGCGCGGCGCTCGACCGCCCGCTTATTGGCATCCCTAAAAGGCCTAATCCTGTCCATGTCTTGGGCCCTCGGACCTTGGGCCCGGCTGCGCACCCAAGCTCTCGGTCAACTCGTTGAAACTCGCCAGACTTGGGAAACCCACCTCCTCCTCTCCGATGATGCGCGGGAGGAGCTGATTTTCTGGGAATCGTCCTTTGATCGGTTCAACGGCCGCCGGCACCTGTGGGTTCCGTCCGTGGTGCATTCCCTCAATTTTTTTTTGCGACGCCGCAGGCAAATCCTCTGAGTCTCTCGGAGGTTGGGGGGCCTGGACCATCCTCAATGGCCAGTTGGCGCCAGCGTGCGGCGAGTGGACGCCCCGGGTCTACCCTGCAGGAACTCCAGGCCATTCTGAACACGATTCAATCGTTCGACAACCCAGCCGGTCTCTCTGGTCAGTCGGTTAAAGTCATCACTGACAACCTTAACGCCGCGAACGTCGTCAACAAGGGCTCCGCAAAAGCGGACAACTCCCACAAGGTCGCCTGCGAGCTGCACAGCTACTGTTTCGAACAGGACATCCGCTTGCAAGCAGAGTGGCGACCCCGCGGCTAGAACCAACTTGCTGATGCGCTTTCGAAACTGCAAGACCCTGATGACTGGATGCTGAAGCCCAGCATATTCCGCCGACTTCACGACACCTGGGGCCCCTTCGACATTGACCTTTTTGCGTCCCACGCGAACTTCCAACTCCCCGTGTACTACTCCCGCTACTTTACCCCAACGACGTCTGGAGTCGACGCATTCAGGTTCTCATGGGGGCGCAGGTGCTGGGCGAACCCGCCCTTTCACCTCCTCCTCAGGGTGTTGCAGCACGCCGAGGCCTCAAGTCCCGGCTCTGCCTCGTCGCGCCTTTCTGGCCTACCCGCGACTGGTGGCCTTTCATCACGGCCGACGGGGTCTGGTTCAAACCCTTCGTGAGCGGAGCCCCCGTGCTCGGCCGGGCCTCAGATGTTTTCCTGGCCCGCACCTCAGGGGTCCCCCTGCCCAATGCTGGTCCACCTTGGCCCTTCTGGTCGACTTCTCGGCCTCTAACATCAACCGCATCCGTGTCCCCGCCGATCCGATCGCGCCCCACACACAGATTTAGACGCCCGGGCCGAGGCTCTCCTGGTCGCTCTTGGCGCGGAGGCAGACGCGGAGCTCTCCACTTTGGCTACTCAATTCGCCAAAGTGGCCGGGCAGACCCTCGGCCCACGGACATCCAACGAACACTCGCGGTCTTGGGAACCTTTCCGCGAGTGGTGGGCGGCCAGGCAACTGCCTGGAAGCATCTATGACAACTCGGGCGAGGCGGTGGCGCTCTACCTGCGGTCCAGTGGAACAGGGCCGGGGGATACCTGTCGGGCCCTCTGACAGGCACGGTGGCCCAGCCGATCCACTCCCTGTCGCACCCTGCCTTCTGCCACCGGCTCAACAAGACCCTGCAAGCGGCGGAGATCACCCACCGCATCACTGCGCATTCCATGCGCATAGGAGGAAATAGCACTGCCGCCGATCGCGGTGTGCCTGCGGACTTGCGCAAGGCGCACGGCCGGTGGCGCAGCGACGCCATGGTGCAGCACTACACGCGGCGCGACGGGGAGGCGAAACTCTCCGTCTCCCGCAGCCTGGGCCTCGCCAGTGAGCAAATGTCTCTTCGGTCTGCTGTGTAAGGCCCGAGGCAGAGGTGCAATTCTCGCCAAAATCGTCCAAACCACGCCGTTCAGCACCATCGGGTCAGCCAATCCACAGCCACCAGAACCAGTTAAGGGAGACAGTAACACAGAAGGACTATATGTATTGAAAGTTGATTACACCGTACGACCGACGGCGGTTTGGGTCCTGCCAACTAGACCCCTCCTCATCCAGTCACCCAACATCCGTAGAGACAGATCAGCCACCACCACCATCTCAGCATGCGAAACTTAGTCCATCAACTAGACTTCATCTCCACACCTCAGCAGCGTTAGTAAACCTAGACCTCCCGAACAATGTCGGGGGTCTGACCAGGAATCGAACCCGGAACCTTCATATACACGAAGGCGCCACCAGACCAGACCAGACCCAAAAAAAAGGTATCAGGAATGTAAAACGGGACTCACAACAAGACCATCGAACACAGGCACATAGCAAGAGACACAGCAATCATGCTTGACTGACGGCTAGCAGCGCTAATCCGGACTGGGCTTTAGGCTGGGCTGGGCATCTTTCCTACAAGGGTTTGCTGCGCTGTGCTGCTGCTGCTGCTGCAACTGCTGCTGCAACCGCTGCTGCAACTGCTGCTGCAACTGCTGCTGCAACTGCTGCTGCAACTGCGGCACAAGCCGCCAGCCAAGCATGATTGCATAGTCGCAGGAGACACGGCACAGAAAAGCACAATCATTACGGCGCTATGAAACGTGTAGTATGATGCGGCGGCACGGATATCGCCGACCTACTGCAAGTATCCTTTTGGAGGTGCTTGATCCCGTATACACCGCCAAGCACCGGTCATTAGGAGGGCATGTGGTGGGGGGAGCAGGTGGGAAGGCGCGAGGGGGTGATATCGTCCAGCTACTACGATATGGAGAGGATAAAGTGGTCCAACAGGCCATATAGTTCGCCCCATAACAAAGGCGGGCTGGTTTAGTGCACACATCACAATACGAACCGTAAGGACGAAAAGGGAAAATCCAGACGGCAAACAGACTCGACCTTCCCAACTCAGCAATCATGCTTCGGCTGGCGGCTTGCAGCGCTGGCTTTGCTTTGCTGGAGATATGCGTTTTGCTGCCTTCGACGTTTTTAAAGAGTTTTGCTGTGCTACTGCTGCTGTCGCTGCAGACCGCCAGCCAAACATGATTGTTGCAGGTTCCCAATGAAACGCGGAACACAGATGTTTTGGCAGCATATTTAAAAACTCTAAAACCCTAACCGCGAGGTATCAAGAAAACCTTGGACGGATGACTCACATGCAAGGACCGCCAGGTCGTTGCTCCCTCGGCGTTGGTGTTGATGTTCGGCCGCCACGCAGCCACAAAGACGCACCAGAGGCAGGTGGGAGGACGAGGCATGAGGATGGGCGAAAGGGAAGGAGTTTTCAGTTGGGGCTTGGGGGCCCAGGGCTGGAGGTTTTTCAGGGGGAAGTCGAGGGGGGGGTGAGTGGGGAGGTGGCGGGGTTGTGGGAGTAGGGATGGCTGAGGTTTGTCGCAGAGAGGTATGTGGAGGAGACTGGGAGGGGCGGGGTTGTGGGTCCCGAGGTAGGTGGGCCGGCGAGTCGGGGAGACAGAGACCGGGGAGCGAGGAGGCTGGGGGGACCGGTTGAAGAATGGGGTGAGAGAACCTCGGAATACGAGACTGGGGTCCTTGTGCTGCGGGACGTGGAAAGGGCCTTGAGAGCCAGCCGTCTTGGTAGAGCGTCGAGCTGGCTACCCTCCTCACCTTGCGGTTTTTCGGAGGCGTTGTCACCGTGTGCCGTGGCATGAGGGGCATGGAAACGTGCGGTGATACCCCTTTTGCGGTTGATGCCTAACCCTCGATTAAACCCAGGGATGGGAAGTGGTCTGGGGAGGCTGTTTGGCGATTTGGGGTGTGAGCTCTCTGCGCTCTTTCTTTTGAGGTTCTTGCAGCTTAAAGAAAGACTTCCCCAGCCCGGGATGACTCGTTGGGCTCCGTCCACTCTGGTCCTGATCGCGTGCTTTTCCTGTGCTTTCCGCCCGTAGGAAGAACTCCCCCGGTGTGACTTTGTTTTTGCTAGGTGACTTAGATGACTTAGCGCTACCCCCGGTGGGGAACGCTGCTTAGTGCCGGCCGTCGTATCAGCGTGGTCTGACCTGGGCGTCTAGACCCCCCCTCGCGCTGTGTTTCGGCCCTTAGGCCCCGGCTTTGAAAACCCCCACAGTGTAACCAACGTCATACATACATATGTACATATCCCATGTATGTGTAACATATGTACATATACATTTCGAAGTGCAGTTCCAGGTTTTCCCGACGTGACTTCTGGGGGCTTCAAGCCCCCAAAGTCCAGCTAAGTATTTGCGCTCGAGAACTAAGTTCATCACCACAATATCATACATCTTTTTCTTATAAGCACATTTTAATGCTTTCGGCAAGCTCTTCGGATTGAAATGTGGGATAAGTATCGTGTTGCCTATATCACACCCGGTTTTGATGTCAAAACAGTTAGCGTTGGGGTTTGTATCTGAATGGAACGCCAAATTCATCGAGCATTCATACTTTACAATAATTTTCGGAGCTTTATTCACCGTACACAAACACACACATCAGGTGAAAGAGTCCTTCCTGGCGAGAGATGAGAGATCTAACACATGCGTAGCTCTGTGGTGGGTGGGAGAGAGCACCTATAACACGCACATCACAGGCCCCAGCTAGATCGCCACCCGCAGCTCGTCCACGCACCTGTCACTACCGACAAATCCACACCACTGCTACACGCATCTGCAGTAGCTAGTCTCCACTACGAAGTCAACACTCAACATATATACATGCAGACATACACATACATGTGCATCGCATGCAATTGACACACCAACAGCCTATTCAGCAACGATGATCCTCCGAATGGACGGCGACAATCCAGGCACTACGTCCAATACTGTAGACGCACGCACGCCACACGTGCCACAGTAAAGGCTCCTAAATGACCCCTAGCCATATAAGCAGATAAGAAGCTGCAGAAATAACATACTTTGAAAATGCACATTTAGCCTGGTAGCCTGGTGTATGACAGCACGTAACGGAACTAAGTTATATAAATGTTGGTAAAATTACTCTACAGGCGCAACTGCGAGGAATTATTACCGGTATATATCCCGGTGCCGCTCTAAATGGACTAGGTCCTTTTCCCCCATCAGCTGCCGTCCTATCAAGAGACACACATACAGAAACTTGTGAACGAGTGGAATTATGGCAGCCATATCCAACCATCCATCTAGCCTGCCGACGTTGAACTACATATCTTCACCGCCACCTTCGGATTCAGAAGCACCGTCACCTGCGGTACAGCGGCGCTAATCACGAACGACGGCTTCCTAATCAGTTTCAAACAGCAGCGGATCCGTTCCCAGGCACACCCGAGCAACGAGGTTTCCCAGGCCAGCTGCATTACCGAAACGAACCGTCCAGACAGCCCCACCCATGCAGCCTTAGCACATCTGCAAAATGTTAACATTGTAGAAAAAGGCGAGAGCCCGCAATCACAATCCTCAGCCCATATGTCGCATCATCTCACACCGGTCCGGGCCTCACAATTCTTCGCGCACCGCCATGAAAACATGCAGCGGTCTCTATATCAGCAATCATCACCTCAAATTTTCATCATCATGTAACGTCGGGCCATAAGGGCGTTAGGGGCTCGCGACATAGTCGCTCCGCCCAGTCAGCACGGCGAAGGGAAGGACCACCGCCCCGAGATATTTCACGTTCATGTAACTCCGCTTAGCTAACGCGACATCAATAGTGTAAAGGACCGGGCAGCCACAAGCAGCGAACGAATGCAGCTCACAACCACACATGCCAGCGCGGAGGTAACTGCTTCCAAAATTCGAGTAGCCAGCCAGCGATTCCCATGTGCCTCATGCAGCCGACAGCTCCAGGCAAAGAGGAAGACGCCCCCAGCTGCTGCTGCTGCCAGAGCACATGCGCGAGAACACCGCTGCAGAAGACGTATAAGCCGATGCCCACTGAAGACGTACACCCTACACCCAGCACCCCATCGAGACGGCCCCTTCCACACTCCCTCCCGTGGCCCCTCTCTACTCGGGGCACAAAATATTGCTGTGCTATGTTGTATGCCGCGCGGGAAGTTACACCAAATGGAGGCGATAAATACATCTACGGTACTTTGTAGACCAGCTGAGGGTTACACAGGGCTGTTAAGATACCCTCAGCTTAGCTAGGAGGATAAAGACTGGAAGAACCAACGCTCGCGACCTTCCGAAAACAGGACCGGTCACAAAGCAACCATACATACATGCGTGTTGACAACGTAATAAAAGACTGCTCAGGAAGATCTTGATGATGGGGCACCACAAGGGGACGGAGAAGAGCACTGCAGGTGGCGGTGGTGGCGGTGCTTACAGACCCATGGCCTGGGCCTTCTCCGGCTTACCTGCAGGTGGCGGGTGAGGACACGAAAGCGGAGCGGGTTTCCCCACCCGGGGTGGGGGGAATGTAAGTTAGGTTCCCAGGGCCCTCAACAGATAAGGCTCCAGAAGAGCCCTGTCTGGTCCCTATTCGGGGTATATGGCGTCAGATCTATAATAGCATACCACGCTTGATAGTTAAATAATGATGGCATCAGCAAGCCATGGGGTAGCACCCCAATTAGTAACTGCAGCGGAGGGCCGCATCATCCTGTTCGTTAAGTGCTGCCCTGACCCGCAAACGAATACTACAGCAGTGCTTTTCAGCACTGATCCCGACCAAAATAGTGTTGCTATATCACTCATGCATATCTACCACCGCCGCCGCCACCAGCGCCTCAGCCCCCCACCCCGCCCCCGATCCCCCGGAGGCAGCAGCATCACGCACCTAGTCCGTGGTCGTAGTTGTAGGCCGAGCCACCGTGCTTCGACACGTCCAGACCCGCCTGCTCCTCCTCGGCTGAGATGCGCAAGATCTTGAGGACCTTCATCACGGCGAACAGGATGCTCATGAGACCGAACACCCAAGCAAATATGCAGATGATGCCAATGACCTGGGGGACGAAGCGAAGAAGCGGGAAGTAGGGCGGTTATAACGGTGCAACTTGTAGGGTGGTTGCGAGGTTAGGTTCGGGTTGGGAACAGACACGGGAACTATACCTATGCCTCTTTCCCACGTTAAGGCCGGCTAGGACAGGACAGATCAGGGCGCAACCAGGGGGTGGGGCCCGTCAGGAGCTTCCCAGTTTAAAGGAACGGACGCCAGGTGGGCCAAACACGCAACAAAAAAGACAATGCAAAGTGTCGATGTCGTACCCCAACCTATCATGTGCAATGCTCCTTCTGCCCCTGTTACCTGGGAGGCCAGCAGACGACCGTCACCGCCGTACAGCAGACCGTTGGGGATGTAGTACGTGTTGTCGCAGTCCCTGCCGTACGAGTCGCACACGTACTGGCGCTTGGCAAGGAGGCCCGCGAAGAAGACGCCCCAGGCGCCGCAAAAGGCATGCATGGGCGCGGCGCTGAGCGGGTCATCGATGCGCAGCTTCAGGAACACCCAGCACACGAAGTCAAAGACCCAGCCGCCCATGAGGCCGCAGATGAGGGCGGCCCAGGGCTCCACCACGTTGGCGCTGGCGGTGATGGACACGAATCCCACCAGGGCGCCGTTGCAGCCGGCCAGCAGGTCCCAGGCCTGGGGCCCCGCAAGGGGGGAGAAGGGGGAGGGGGATGAGGAATGTGGTGTTACGTTGGGCGTTAGGATGTCCACTCCCTAAGGTGACATGGAGGTCCAGCTGATCCGGGTCTGCTACGTCAACAAGCTCAGCTGTAGAGGAAGGGGAGGGAGCTCCAAGCCGGGGAGGAAGGGGTCATCATGGCAGTGCACAGGGGGCAGCGCAGTACGGGCGGCAGCGGTAGAATAAAGGCAGGGGGTTTCCTGCTGAGGTGACCGGAGATGGCGCGAGACGTGGCATGTGGGTGCCAGGACGCACTCCGCAAGACTGCATGTGGACCCCCACATACATACACACGCACACACACGCTCGCGCCTCTTGAGGGTTGTCCGTGTGTACCTTGTGGCGGAAGAAGGCGGTCAGCAGGCAGGACAGGCAGCCGGCAGCTCCGGCCAAGGTGGTGGTGACGGCGGCGCGGCCCACAACGGAGGCGCTCACAGCCGTGTTGATCAGCAGCTGGGAGCCGGGGTTGAAGCCGTACCTGAACGGATAGTCGGGTCAAGTAAGGTCAGGTTGGGAATGAGCCAGGTTACTGACCAATACAAACTGTAGGATGACAGTCCAATACCACACGATACCAGTATCCAGGATGTAACCGCCCCATACTGAGCTGATAGACATACAAACAAACAATCAATACAAACAACAACGCGCCTCCATTTGACCACCCCATCTAAACCCTAACCTCCTTACTCCATCACACTCCAAGACCTGGACGCGCCAAGCTATCCACTCCTCCCCCTCCTCACCATCCGAACCACAGCAGCACCGTGCCCAGCACCACCAGAGTAGCCGAGTGACCGGGCATCTCGACGGGGTTGCCGTTGCTGTCGAAGCGGCCCATGCGGGGCCCCACCATGATGCAGCCCGCAAGGCCAGCCAGACCGCCCGTCATGTGCACCACACCGCTGCCGGCGAAGTCAATCATGCCAGACCGGAACAGGTGCGAGTAGCCGATGTAGCGAGCCATGCCCAGCCAGCCCTCGGAGGCCCACACCCAGTGCACCACCACCGGGTAGACGAACGCGGAAATGAAGAACGAGTAAACTGCGAGGCGAAGGCAACGGGGGTGGGGTAAGGTTTTTGGGGTTCAGGTGCACGGGGAGGCATTGTATTAAGGGGTTGGCCACGTAAGTAATAGTTTAAAGTGGAACCTGCGGGCCGCGGGGACTGTAACTGTCAACAGGTTTAGGGTCGACACAGCACCAGCTAAATACATAATATACATTTACGTACATATGCATACACGGGACATGCAGTACAAGGAGTAGGAAACATCATGTACTCATTTGCCTTTGCCGGATGGATATCCCCCGAACATGCCGGGCCTGAGCAATACAGAGCAATTAAGAAGATCGAAAGGTGAACGCGAGCGTGAAATGTATGTGTATGTGCTCTTGCTGACCTGCCCAACAGCAGCGTTCGTGCACGTAGATGTGTTATTACAGTATATTATATATATACGTTACATAGGGATGAACATAACCCTACAGGTATACACTTACTGAGGTAAGCATTAAAGTTGAGACGTTCCGCCACCGCACCGGCGGGAATGGTTGTGGCGGTCGCAGCGAAGGCCCATTGGAAGAACCAGTTCTGCCAGCCATCGCCGGCTGCTGGGTTGAGAGCGACGTTTTTTGGAGCCCAACGAGCCAGACCAAACAGCGCATCGCCGATCTGACGGAGGAGAGCAATGAGAGAGCGATGCGGATCGAGAAGTGCCGGGGTGGGTTGGGGCATCACATGGTTGGGGGATAGGATGCAAGCTAGGGTTTCATGTGGGCGCGAGCTGAGGTCGGCCACGGGCCTCAGGGTCCGCTAGCAGACCAATCTGTTGAAGCAACGCAATATCATCGATGCTATAAATGGAAAATGCAATGCTCGTGTTGATGGCACGAACGGCGAGTTCCCAAAGGGGAACTGCGGGATGTGCGTTACATCAAGAAGGTTCAAAACGAGTAACATGAACACTAACGTCTACAGTTGCTGTTTCAGCCAACACTTACAAATCCGTTAGGCTTGTCGCCAATGCCGTAAGCGAAACCGTATCTGTTGAGGAAACGGAGAGGTAGACTCTTAAATGATACAGACACGACAATTGACCGGACTAACTCCGGACTGGAGGTGCACCAGGTCACTCTACACGTACCCAAGAATGTAAAAGGCAATCGCTGAAACAGCTGCGTCCATAACAGTCTGCAAGAGGATGTTCACTGACAGGAGGGGGCCCATACCATGCGGTCACATGGCGTACCAGCAAGAATACAGCAACACATAAACCTTACTTGTATTCTTCGATCGAATCGCTCCTGCGCAAAGCTGTGGGCATTAGGGAAAGTCAGCACATGGACCACAATCCTTCCTCCACGAGGCAAACATGGCGCTTACCATGGCAAAGCCAGCGTGCATGACAAACACCAGTGCACCGCATGATGTAAGGTACAAGGTGTTCAGGCCAACGACGGCATCGTTCAGCTGGTCGCCGACTGTGATAGGCGCAAACTGCCCACACAACACGGCAGCTTTGTCTGCATCATCACCAAACAGTGGCTTTATAGCATCAATACATTCCTGAAGCGGATCGCTCATGATTCTTCGCTAGTGCTGGCAATCGGATATCAAGCTTATATACAGAGTCTTGCTTTGAGACGCAACGCAATATAATTATGAGTGTATCACAAAAACAAATATAATATACGATCTATCTACTTGGTTAAGCTGCAATGTCGTGATTTCTTTTTCAACCAACCAAAAAGAATTTGAATTCTAGGGCTTTTCCCCTATTGGTCGGACATCGACGTTATCCACCGGAAGGCAGAAAACAAGTAAATCTAAAACATTTTCCTCCCCAACGTAATGATATGTAAAGTGCTATGAACGGGAATGGTCTGACTCAAATTTTGCATCACATGGGCCACGCTGCCAGTACTCTATGCCGTAGTGACGCATCCTCGCCATGACACAGATTTCTGAAACTTGGAGTTTCCCCTTACCTAAAAGCGTGCACATGATACGAGTCTGACTACCAGTTGACTTCCGAGCTCACCAACTTGCCCACTCTATGCGCGCCTCACATGTTAAGGAAACAATAAAAAAAATTGTTTAAACGAAGCGGGCAGGAGCTGTTCTGCATAGAAAGTGAAAAGTGGCGAAGAAGGGCTTAATTGTTGTTCCAACTTGCTGATCTCAATCGCTACTTTTTCAATCCGTGACAAAGTTCCAATAATTTCTATATTTCTATGATAACCTTCATTCGTCGCGTGTCTTGTTGAACCTATGCCCCTCGGCTGCTGACAGGGGAGCTGCACTCCTCCACAGGCTTGACGGCTAGGTCGTGCGTTTGCTAATTTGAAGTGTTGCGTAAAAGATATCCCATATATTGACTCCAAAGATTGAAATGACGCGTGCTGTTAGGTGTGGAAATGAGCGTCCATATTCTTGTAGCTCGACGGCGCCGCTTATACCCTTCCTGCCAACCACAGCACCGACACATTCACCGTACGTACACAGCCTCACAAGCACGCCCACAAAAGACCGTACAGGTTATCGCTCCTTCGTCGGCACAACCTCTCCAGAACACACACACACACACACATACATACACACACACACACACACACACACACACACACACACATAAATACAAGTTGCAAGTTCCGCACAACTGCGAGGATGTCCATGAAAGCCGGGGGGCCCATGGACGGTAGATTGGTATTAGTGCGGTTACGTGGTGGACCATCATCGTCCTCCCTCGTCCGCTTGAGCACGCAGCGCCTTAGCGCAACGTGCAGGGTCTCCCAGACTTCCGAGAGGAACCTGGCTAGCGCCAGGGGTGGGACCTCGGTCATAATCGTGCGCATGTTGCACCCTTGAAACGCGAGGCCACGTTCGTACTTAGCCCGTGTACTTGCGTACGCCGGGCATTCCACAAAAACATGCATTTCGTCTTCAACCGCCCCGCAGTTGTAAAGCCTACAGGTGCGCGCTGTGCGCTCATGGCCGTTAGGTCGGTTAATCTCTAACTCCCAACAGCCTAACCGGAAACGCATAAGATTTGATGCAAACGTTGGGGCATGGCGATTTCAGCGTGGGCTACCCACTTCTACCTCGTGCCCCTAAGTGGGGGCGCCCCCAACCAGTTCAGATAGCGACATGCCTTGACGCCCTTACTTCCACTTGGGAAGGTGCACGGGTCGCCTAGGGTATCCGGGCACTCCCACCGGGCGTCGAGCCGCCTAGCGAACTCTTTAAGTATGCTTCCCACTGGCAACCTAACGGTGGCGAAATGCGCTATGAGGTCGTCACCTCGCAGACCGGCTGGGGGCTCAGCTCCCAATTCGTAAGGAAAGCTAGGACCTTGCTCGTCCAGCACTCAGCAACACCCCCCAGTGCCAGCTCAAGGTCGGTGATGAAGGCCCGGTGGCACAGTGTCCCCGGCCTCTTGACAATTGAGTTCTAGAACCTTAACACAAGGCCCAATCGAATTGGAACTGGAGCTGCCTCTGTGACAGCTCACCTAGAGCTCACCTCGCTCCTACCACGGACCACATATATGCGCGCTGCTCTTGCACCATAGGGCTTGCCATTGCGCTCTCGGAATTCACACCAATAAAATCAGGTCCCAAAGCTTGCGCCCCACACAAAAAACCCGGCACAACGAGCGCGTTACCGTAGTGCTACTTATAGTTCGTGCTACAATAATTCGGGGTGCGCCACGAATATGTAGCACGTACAAATTCTAAGGTATCCTAAGGGACCGCAGCCCCGAAATATTGTACGCTCCGAAGCCGGTCGATCAAACTTCGCAAAAACTAGGATTTCAAGGCGGAAATCAGCTCTTAAATGTAAAAAATGTAGTCATAAACGTAGGACATGAACGTCGCTCGAAAACGTGCAAGACAGGCAACCCTGCTTCAATGCGGGATGAAATCGCTAGCACCAAACGCTCCGGTGAGCGACCGAGCTGGATTTGCACCAGTTAGGCTTGATGATGCTGTTGTTGAGGCCCAGCGTGAGCGAATGGAGCACGAGGAGGTTGCTAGGCGCGAGCGCAATGCGGTCAATGCTACGGCAGCCGGCGAGGCGAGGCTTGCGCTCACGCCGCAGCCTGGCATTCGACCTGTTGGACGTCCTCTTCAACAAATGAGCACGTCACGGAGCTGGATGCAAAGTTCAGCATGCTACCAGCGGACAAGGTGGAGGCCATGCGTGCAGCAACGGATTTCCAGAATTATCCAGAATTTGCTAGGGCGTTTCCAAAGTGCGAAAATGGTGAGAGACCATGAGCCTAAGGGTTCCCGGTGGAGGGAGACTGACTGGAAGCTGCAGTTTGAAAAGCCCCGAAACTTTGGAAGGGGCCCCGAAATTTTGTATCATGCCCGCAAAATCTGGTCCGGCCTTCCCCGAAATTCAAAGAGCACGTACAAATTTCAGCAAGTTTTTTGACCCCTCCCCGAACAAAGCGATCACGAACTATAAGTAGCACTACGGTATAGAGGGACATTTTCGTATCTCGACACAATGGAAAAGGTGAGAGAGACTATACATCGAAACAAAGGCTATGCGAGCTACGGACAGTCCCCGTATTGCATCCTCATCCTCATCCTCATCCCCATCCGCATCTTGACCTTCATCGGGCGATAAGACGATGCTAACTCTTTTGTACAGGAATCTGAGGCACCCGGCCCCCTCCCTCCTCACCATACAAAACACTCCCACACACGCACACGCACGGGAATGCATTCTCCCCGTGAATATCCCACAGCCCTCCACCACCACCACCACCACCACCGGCGGGAGGGGCGGGGGGGGGGCCGAAAAGGGGAGGCGCCTGGGGGAGCACCACCCAAGTGGTGCTCGGCCCCATACAGCTCGAATGTGTGATCCTGTAGGCACCATCCTACCTCGCACTTCAAACAAAGCAAGTGATAAAAGGATACTAACGGCCAAAGGGAACGATAGAGTTGCGGTGGGACCACGTACGTTCCAGCATCCTTGCCAGGCGCTCAGGTTCCCACTTCATAGCTCGTCCTTCCTATGCTCGAAGCGTGGAACGTAAGGCGGTTCGATTATCAACAGAGCATGTTGGAGGCCATGAAATGGGAGCCAGCATGTCTGGCGAGGATGTTGGAGCATATGTGGGCTCACCGCAACTCAGTTATCCGCTTTGGGCGCTAATTTGGTCTGATAGTGCGGTGTTCCCTTTCCTCCGTGGCTTTTAGGCGTTGACGTATTGCCCTTGGGCCTTCGGCGCGTATGGGTAGTTTTACAGGTATGGGGTCACGCACCCCAAACCATGTAACACACACACATACACACACACATACACACACATTCACATACACACACATACACACGTACACGCCAGTGGACGGTTTCGGGAGACTGGCAACACGGGTAGGGGCCGCAGGCGTATGTATATACATGCGAGGACAAGATACGGGTGGTGACCTACTGCGATGGCCACGACCCATTCATCCGCACACACAACATGTTACCAGTAACCCACCGCTCCAAGATCGCGAGGGCTTACACGTCCGTCTGCCGGCACCTCACCTCATTTCCTCAACAGGACCAACACCGCCGGGCAGCTGGGTCTTGGTGACAACCGCACCCGGGGACTGCGGCCCACTGACATGGGTGCCGCACTGCCCTTCGTGGACCTGGGCCTGGGGCTGAATGCCACGTGCGCCCTGCTGCAGCCCGGAGGCCGTGTCAAGTGCTGGGGGTGAGTGACTCACACCCTCTATAACGTCCGCGCTGCTGCTGCGAAGTCCATCTCCAAGTGGCACGTCGTTCACCACGCCTGCAAGAAAATGCTTTGCATGGTTTTAGGCGCCCAAAGACACTGGGCGCCTGCCTTCTTTGTTATCAAGGGCTGGCTGGGAACCGTAATCTTGGCTTTCTGCACAGCTTTATCGTTAACGGGGAAGGTCCCTGCACCAGGTCACTGGGCCCCAATAGCTCAAACTCCGCACATCCTGCCCTCCAGTGCATGCACCGAGCACCCAAACGCATCCATGCCCCGTGCCCCATTACCCTTATCTTCATTACTCAGTTTGTTTCCCTTTTCACAGCCACAACCGGCACGGTCAGCTGGGCTTGGGTGACCGTATCCCTCGGGGCATGGTGGCCGGCCAGATGGGCGCACGGCTGCGGCCCGTGGACTTCGGGCCTGTGGTCCGGATTCCGGTAGCTATCACCGCAGGCGCCGGACACACGTGTGTGGTCTTGCAGCCCGGAGGCGGCGTCCGCTGCTGGGGGTGAGAACTAATTAGATGGGGCCCCCTAGCAGAATCCAACGTAATGCGCATTGCCACATGCACAGTGTTTTGCTGTGCTGTGTTTTACAGTTTGGCATCGAAGACCTCAAAATCCGAGCTGCAGTGCTGGCGGTCAGCAGGCGTTCATGTCCGCAAGGGTGTGCCATGGGATTTCTGGCCAAGCGCTCATCATGCCTACAGGCGTACATGGGAGCATTTTCGGTGTCAGGAGGCCAATCATCACCGCTATGTATGATGTTGTTACAGGGTGGTGTAGCTTCACCAGGGCGCCCCCTTTCCAGAGGCATGCCCTGCTTTCCCCTGCTAGAGGGGCACCCTAAGCCATTCACCCCATCCGATTTTAGGATGTATTCGTTGGGTTCAGCAACTCACCACCAGCATCCAACCAAATCTAGCGGATCAACGGCGCCTCAACTTAGTTCCTGGTCAGCTCGTAAGTTGATATAATCACATCCTACACCGTCCACAAGATGGGGGGTCACCTCCCAACTCAACACCCCTCACGCACCGAGAGGTCGGCAGGCGGATTTGGACCCGGACTCCGGGAGCAGAAGTCAGGCTATGTATGATGTGTGAAACAGGGGGGTGTATCTTCGCCCGTGGCAGCTACCCTGCGAAACCCTGCCCTCCCCGGTATTTCGGGGCACCCTCATCTAGTCACCCTAGTCAACTTCTCAGTGGATCGCTCAAGTTCCGCACCCACCACCAGCATCCAACGGAATCTGCCGGGTCGACAGCGGCCCAACTCCGTTCCTGGTCGGCTCGCAGGTTAACTTTATCCCAGGTCACCACCGTCCATCAGCTAGGGGCGCAATTCCTTCCACCATCGGAAGGAATTTTGCCCCTAGCGGGTATCGATCCTGGGATCTCCCGGGGGCAAAGGTCGCGCATTACCAGTAGTGCCAAACCCTATATATGTATGTATCTCAGTAGCCAGCTGCCACCCGGCTGCCACAATTAAAGCTAGATGCAAATTAGATACATACATGTAGTAGCTGGCTTCTGAAAAGGCCTCTCGAGATGCTGGTGAAGCGCTTACCGCATGTATGTAGTTGTTCAAGGTGCCGTACTCCGTACCAGCTACTACAGTACGACCTAATTACAAGTAGTCGTAGCTAGCTATCCGTCTCATATGGTTCATTTCCATGCCTGCGTGTTCTGACTGGTTTGCAATCATGCATGTATTCTCACGCATACAACTTGTGGTGTAGTATACAAAGCTGGGCGGGATCTGCATCAAGAGTTGGACCTATTGCTCTGCCTAGCATGAGGACGCAGTCGCCTGGCCATACAGAGCAGGAATTTCTGAAGCGTAGTTCTGCAGCGAGGGGTGTCACCGCCACCTGCTCAATCGACCTAACTAACTGTGCTGTACCTAACCAACTTTGCTGTACCTAACCAACTGTGCTGTACCAAACTAACTGTGCTATACCCGCCCTAACGAGGCTCGCCATGAATGCATGTGGCTGGACAGTTGCTTCGGGGAAAAGCTCCAGAATTTTGTTGGATGCACGGCAGGTGGGTGCATGGAAGCGACGGCAGCTGTGCAAGGATGCCAACAGGATTATCCAAGAGCTTTAGAGCTGTTGTACGTTGTGGCATGCAAGCATGCTACAACAAAGACTTACGATTCGGGGCTACTTGCGACATGGTGCAAGGCTACAAGAAAATATGTGCGAGCCTTTGGCATGTACAAGGAGGATACTGATTGATGTGGCAACATCAGGAAAATGGGGGAGGTACAGTCCGTAAACCTTGTGCTCGCTGTGCATTGTGAAGTATACACCGCATGCACTGGGAAGCCGTACACCGTACATACCATTCCCACCAGGTTTTCGTGTCCGGTGCTGAGTTTCGGATGGTCAATGTCGTGAAGGCGCAGAGGAGAAGCATGGGACCTGCTGGCAGCAGTACGCTGTGTGATTAAGAAATGGTCCTGGATGACATGATCCGGGTGTTACATGCGGGCTAGATCACTCTTCGTTCCACCTCCCTGTTGTATCCTGTAAAGGTTTTCTGCAACGGTTTGGGCGCCGAAACCTAACTGTCGGTGGTTATCTCGTCCACTCCGATTTACCAAACTCCAATATTACTAACTAACACCCGTCAATTCCGCGGTCGGTGATTACAGGTATTAACTAATACTGATATTAGTTTAATTGCGGCTACTGTTAGCTGCGGCGGCTAAAGCGACTACTGATAGTCGTCCGCCACCTTAATGCCGCACTGCTGCGGAAGTCCATGGGCGCCGGCGGATAAAACGACTACTGTTAGTCGTCCGCCATTCAAGTGCCGCACTGCTGCGGAAGTCCATATCTGCATATGGGCGCGTTGCGGCTACTGTTAGCTGCAGGCGGCTATAGCGACTACTGTTAGTCGTCCGCCACCTTAATGCCGCACCGCTGCGGAAGTCCATACCTGCGTATGGGCGGGGGTTTTACTTACGTAAAGCTGGGACCTGCGTCCCAGTTTCGTCTGACCGAGCGAGAGTAGTTCCTGCGAACTATGGCTTCTGGATACGGCGCCGCCCAGTCGTACTGGGGATTCTTATCGGCGCGAGGCCCAAGTGGAGTCACTGATGACTATTTATTCAAGACACTTGTCTCAATCGGTATCTTTCGATGCCCCCATTATGTGGTTGTGTCGTCTGGACTCTGCAACAAATCTGGTATCGAGACGGGTTCCTTACGGACCAGTCTCATTTCCGCTTCCGCACATTTTCTTTCAATTGGCACTAGTATGAACTTTCCTTGTGAAGAGACTACGTCGGCCGATTCGGAAGATTTCGGTCCCTTGGCGACTTTTGCTGCTGACCTCGGCAATGCGGTGATGGCTGCCGCCGCATCCGCGGGTTGGTAGATTCGCCCTAACTTTTGTTGAAGTAATCCTAGTTTTCCATCCTCTAACTGTTTTTAGATTTGCAGGCCCTCTCGTTGTAGCGGGTTCTGCTATTCCTACCTCTGCTGCGATCCCTCGCTTGCGCGAACTTGTGTACCTCCTCCGTGGTGCATTGCAAGCAATCGAGGCAGTCCATCGCTGTGCTGAGGAAGTCTTACTTTTCGGTAGGGTTACCTTTGCTACCTCTTTTTACTTCGCTTTTCGGGTTGGGTCGCCTCGCCATGTTGCCTGCCAACTCCGGAAACGCGCCTTTACCTGTCCTCGGGGATGGTCAGCAGGGAGCGTTAAGTGTAGTTCCCCCTTCCTGGAACGTAGCGGATGGGGTTAGGCGAAATTGATGGGGTCCGCCGGATTTAGTCGCTGAGGGTGGTCCCGCGCGGACAGTCCCTATCGCTGCCCCGGTGGTTCCTGTTAACCCTGTCGCTGCCCCAGTGCCTCACGTAGGACAGGATCCCACGCCTGTCACCGCTGTTCCGCCGCCAGCA